GTAGCAAGTCTCGGTTCTTGCTCTGCCACAGCAGCAGCGTAGCAGATACATTCCGCCAAGACCAAACACATTAACATTGCCATTGCCAATAACATATTACCATGCTAAACTCTCAGAGAGTTGTCATGACAGAAATTAATTTACTCTATTAAAAAAAATTGTTAAAATAAAATTTACCTTCCCCAGCTCCACCTGTATAGATCTGCTAAGGGGTAATTTCATGCATGTTATACATGGGGGTAATTTCATACATGTTATATGTGAAGCAGAAGTACTTCCTACATGCTCACAGCAGCATTTCTGTGGATGTTTTGGCAGTAGCAAGTCTCGGTTCTTGCTCTGCCACAGCAGCAGCGTAGCAGATACATTCCGCCAAGACCAAACACATTAACATTGCCATTGCCAATAACATATTACCATGCTAAACTCTCAGAGAGTTGTCATGACAGAAATTAATTTACTCTATTAAAAAAAATTGTTAAAAATTAAAAAAATAAAAATAAAATTGAAGAAACGATTAATATGTGGGTAAATCTAGCGTTAACTGCTTTAAAGTGTATTACACATTTGTCGTCTTTATGCGGTAAAACTGTACGTCTTGACATGTACTAAAGAAATACAGTGAAAACGGATGCCTTAACTTGGACAGAACGTGCATGTCTACACATACAAAAGAAATGTGTTCAAAATTGTATGTTAATGTGGTAAAATTTAAGAAACGATTAATATATGGGTAAATCTAGCGTTAACTGCTTTAAAATGTATTACACATTCAAGTGCGGCCAGAATGTGCGCATTGAGAGACACATTCAGATTTGTCGTCTTTATGCGGTAAAACTGTACGTCTTGACATGTACTAAAGAAATACAGTGAAAACGGATGCCTTAACTTGGACAGAACGTGCATGTCTACACATACAAAAGAAATGTGTTCAAAATTGTATGTTAATGTGGACGAAGTATGAAGCAGTAAAACCTCATAATGTGCAGTTACTCTTAACTTCAGGACAGCTTTTATTGTGTTCAAACTTATGATCTGCTCCGAATAACTCTTAAGGGTGCACTGTATACACAGTGATCATGCATAATGCATTCAGACTGGAAAATATTAAAGATACAGGTATGTGGAAATGAACTTTAATAGAATTAGCTGCTAATTAGCACCAACATTGCTATTTGATCCAGAGTCTTTATTTTATACAGGAGATGGTTGGCAGTTTATATTCTCTTTTGAATAGTCATTTCACTTGTTGAATGCATTTTTTTTTTTCATTAATTGTTTAAGGTTTTTTTGGCTTGCGATTTAAAAAGCACTTGGGGTCCTCATGTTACAATCAGCATTTTACACTTTAACTTCAGATCAAAAATACAATTATTGATATATTTTCAGCTGCACACGTCCAGATCCCTCATCGACTCTGAGGTGTTGACTGTCCTTCCAGTTTATGTTCATCAGTATGCTTCTGAATTTAATTATGAACAGTATTTAAATGATCAAATTTTATACAGGAGATGGTTGGCAGTTTATATTCTCTTTTGAATAGTCATTTCACTTGTTGAATGCATTTTTTTTTTCATTAATTGTTTAAGGTTTTTTTGGCTTGCGATTTAAAAAGCACTTGGGGTCCTCATGTTATAATCAGCATTTTACACTTTAACTTCAGATCAAAAATACAATTATTGATATATTTTCAGCTGCACACGTCCAGATCCCTCATCGACTCTGAGGTGTTGACTGTCCTTCCAGTTTATGTTCATCAGTATGCTTCTGAATTTAATTATGAACAGTATTTAAATGATCAAATCAGAAAAAGACCACATTTCAGAATCATAATCAAACTGCAAAGGTGTTCTGAGTGGTTGCCAGGACGTTGCTCTGAGTAGGTATTTCTAAATGCATAATTATTAGTCAAAAGAGTCCATATATTTCCACTTGTTTTTTTTTTATCTCAGGTAAAAATATTGGTTAGAAAAGCAAAAGCACACCTCCCCTCAACAACAACAAAACACAGTTAGAGATACAGTATCATTCATGTTCATAGCAACAAGAACAAACCAGATGCTTAAAAACAAGACTCAGGCCTAAAGGCTTGTTCAAATCCCAAAGTATGAGCAACAGTGATACTTGACCACAAAATAATAAGAATGACCCTCTTCCAAGCTCAGATAAAATGAGCCTTCTCGAGTCACAGATTACTCTATCCATCTTGCTTAAAAGCAACTTCAGTTCGCTTATTACGACCTGTAATTGTCTTTGGTCATATCAGGTGCACCACTGATGGATAACATCATCTCGAGTGTGCTAATGTTTCAAACAATGCCTAAAATCCAAGAGAGCCCAGCTGGAAACACTGTTGACATGAGCCATAAAATCGCAAGCACAAGATGTGCTTCATGCCGGCTTCGGTCTGTCTCGGCTCGGCAGCAGGGATGAAGACGGGCCCGACGTACTTAGCAGGCTCTGCTATAAACCTGCAGGAATAAAGAGAACTCGCTCTTCTTGGACTAGAATGCTAATTACTGCATTTGTCATGATCAGGACTCAAAGTGGCGCACGGGCGACCGGAGCGCTTGAATTTCCCCGCTCGACCTCCGAGGATCGTCATGTACCATTAGTCTTCTTTAGATCTCCCCCCAGGCACTTGAAGAGAAGTGTGAGACTTCGAGTGCTGAGTAAAGTGTTCTACGGTGTGCCGGGAGGGTGTGAAAAATGGATTTCTGGAAATAAATCCACCTCGTGAATGACGTCCCAAACACACAGGGCCTTCTCAAAACATCTCGTGATTCAAATGCATCATGAACGCTTTCAAAATAGCGCTAGCATTCATTTATGGATCGATGTTGAAACGAGTAAATTTTTCCACGACCACATTTCAGTGAGTCTGTCAGCGTTATTAAAGGAATAGTTCACCAAGAAATGAACATTCTGTCATCATTTACTCACACCGCTATGCGGACACAAATGAAGGGCTAGTGAGATGTCTACTACCAACATAGGTGGTAGTAGACTTTTAAGGCAGCAGAATTTAACCTCATTTGTTCACCATTTTTAATGTTCTATATGCATTAAGATGTGAAGCACATGGCAGACTCCACTCACAGCTGATTTCAAATCATTTTTCTGAGTTGCTAATCTAACAATGAAATAAGCTTCAGAATACACAGAAATACAAGGACACAAATATTGGATAATGGTTCATGATAATTGTCAAAAAGAACAATTATAAAATATATCAAAACTTAATTTGCAATTAGTAATATGCACTGATAATTTTTGGTATTAAATTATATGTATCATTAGACAGTAAATAAAATATATTTTCGACGACTTTGTCCACTTTTTTTTTTAGCAAAAATGTTACGTTACATTACATTTCTTTTGGACTTTGTCTCATGAAGAAACAAACACATCTTTGGATGACCTGAGTGCATTTTCAACAAATTTTCACTTTTGGGTGAACTATTCCTTTAAGGGGTTTATGGAAAACAGAAGTTTAGATGGTCTAGTTAGATATCCTATATTTCTCCTTGTGTTTCAAAGAAGAAAGGAAATACTGTGAATTTGGGACGGCAGAAAGCTGAGTAATGCATTTTAATTTTGAAGAAAATATTCCTTTAAACAAATTCAATGTTCAAAAATTTAGGTTCTGCTCAACAAGCTTAATTTATTTGATCCAAAATACAGTAAAAACAGCAATATTGTGAAATATTATTACAATTTAAAATAGCTGTTTCTATTTGAATATATTGTAAAATGTAATGTATTTCTGTGATGCGCAGCTGAATTTTCAGCATCATTACTCCAGTCTTCAGTGTCACACGATCTTCAGAAATCATTCTAATATGCTGGTCTAAAACAGTTGCTTAATATTTTTTTTCCATGATAATTTTTTTAATTCATGATTCTTTGAATGAATAAATACAGCATTTATTTAAAATAAAAATCTTTTGTAGCATTATAAATGTCTTTACTATCACTTTTAATTTAATGTGTCCTTGTTCAAAATTATTAATTTCTTTAAAAATATATATCTGACCCCAAACTTTTGAAGGGTAGTGTGTGTGTGTATATATATATATATATATGTACATTCTCTATATTTAAGTGGATTCTTTCTTTCTTTTCAAAAAAGCAAGTTAACAAAGCAGGATTCTTTATTTGAAAATGTTTTTCACATTGCAAGAAGAGACATACAAGCTTTGCGGCCCCAGTAGCTCATGTAATATTCATGAGATGTTTCCAGGGACAACTTCAGGTGAAAAGCCCGCTAACTCACCCCAACATACACACTCACACGCAAACACACTCCTGCACATTTACATATTCATCTGTTTAGCAAACATACCACTATATTTTTAACCTTGCTTTGACATGAATCAGCAGCATTTTACTTTGGAAATCACCCACTTATCTTCCCCTAAGTTCTGCTGTACACACACACACACACACACACACATACACACATATTCACAAACAGGTATAACAGGGCTTAATTTGTATTGGAAAAGCTGGATCTGGATCTGGAACTGGACTGCAAACACTGACCATTTTTGGAGGGCCTTAAAACTGTGAAATTAACTTTTATTTGACCGTCTTTGACGTCAACAGCCTTAACATTCCTAACATCAACATCAGAATTAACATGACAATTTTCCTGCTCGAGCATGATCAGTCACATGACATTTTTCAGCTCAAGTTGTTGGCTGAAACTTCTTAAGCTGTAACTTGTATAAAATGCACATTTAATGTCCCAAACCGGCAAGATCCATCACCAATAACTTATTCCATTATGTCTTAATGGACCCTTTTCACAGATGCATTTCCAGAGTTATTAACACTGTAAAACTAGCAAAGTATTTTTCATATTTTCATGTACATTTATAACACTATACTTTGCTTTTTTTTTTACCTCTGCATTAAAGTTTTTTAGTTTTTCTACTTGGAAATTTCACATTTAATTCAATGTGGTAACTGGTGTTTCTTTATTTGTGAAATTTACTAGCAATTTCTGAGTGAAAATTGTTTCAAAGTAATTTTTTGAGGAAGTGATGGCAAATTTTTCATTACTTAATTTATTAAGAACGGACAACAACAATTATTTTTGTCGATTTAATGTATGATTAATAATAAATTCTTAATTTTGGAAAATAAATGAGCAATTTCAGAGTGAAAATTGTATATTTTTTGAGGGAGTGGTGGCAAATTTGACATATTTCTCTTTTCTGACCAGCGTAATTGATTATGTAGATATTTGATATATGAATTTTTTATATGATTATGCTGATATGATATATGAATAGAAATTTCTTCCTCTTTTGTGAAGTCATAGAAATGTTACTTTTTCTATTGACGCTAATGGGAACCCAAAAATGATATTTGTTGTAGATTCCATTCCCCACTATAGAAGTTTATGACGACTTCTGTTTCTGAGAACCACAGAAATGTGAAACAGGTCCATTGACAAATGAAGCACTGCTGACCTGTTACACCAACAGCTGGAAACAGGAAGGGATCTAGACATCTAAAGCACTGAAATCATCAACAGAAAGACTTAAAGTGCAAAACAGTAGAGAAATACAACTTTTCATTTCCCCCATTATTAACATCTCTGTGTTCCCAAACTCACCTTAAATTTACAAATCAGTCTTGTACTCTAAGCGATGATAATGATGAATCATGGTTTCCATACACAAAAAAAAACAAAAATCAAATATCCACCAATACATTTATAGCTTAACGTCAGTGTGTCACAAGTAAATGATAATGCATAGTTACCTGGTAAATGTTTTGTCTTTAAATTATTGCGATATCACGCATTGGATCTGGGTATGAGGTGATGGAGGGGTTAATGATCCGATCCCCCAGAGGTCATAGTTCAAAGGTCAATAAGGGGCAAACAGTACAGGTGTGTGAGCAGTCCTGATTGGCCCTGGGGCAGGGCGGAGCAGCGCGGCGGGGAGGGACTGAGTCTGAAAGAGGGCGGGGTTATGGCAGGCACGCAGCGGGAAGGCGGAGCCTACAGCGGCGATCGCAGCGGCGACAGCTGCCAGGTGGGACGGCATTATCCTGGTGGTCAGCGGTGGACACAGGTCTTTTCCGGCTGGCATCTTCATCTGCTGGACAGAGGACAGGTTTTTAAATATTTTGTAAATTAACTTTTTAACTAGTAAAATATAAAATAAATATAAATAATGAAATATATATATATATAAAACAATTATAATATATAATAATATAATATAATAACATTCTTCAACATGATTCATATATGTGCATGCATATATATATATAGTCATTTTAAAATGTTAAAAATATTACTATTAAAGAAATCATTAAATTCTTAGATTTGAAAAAAATACTTCAATGATGATCAATGAAAACAAAAAACAAATACATATATATATATATATATATATATATATATATATACACACACACCAAATTATAAGTTTAACAATATAATTATTTTCATAATAATAATTCAAAATTATTGTATGTTCATTTATTAAATGTAATTGTTGTTTTTCACAGTGACAGAAATAAATTCCATAATAACTTTCATTTCTTATTTCATTATTAACAATAAAAAAATACAAATGATAAATATGAAAGAAAAGGAAAGAAGGATATGCACACAAAAATATAGGCCAAAGCTCATGTAGATGTATTCCATCAAGTCCGCAAGTACAAAAAAAGTACCGCTGATTTAGGATTGAACTCAAAAACATTTTGCACTTGGCACTTTCTTTGTACTAATTTTGTGGCCTCGATGGAATAATTGAGCATCAGCCTTTATTTTTGTGTGCAGATTCAATTTCATTAGTAAAATCTGTAGTCAAATGGGTTGTATTGCAGTTATACCCTACAATGCTATGCGATTCCAGCAATAGCTCACTATGTTGATGTTGCTCCAGACCCATATGTGGTTGTTCGTTTCCGTGGAACACCAAACAGTTTCAATGCAACAACGGTTCAGAGTGACCGCAAGCACCACAACAGTAGTCCACATGACCCATGCGCTATCTTCCCAAACGTCTGAAGTCATATGATAGATTTTGTTTGAGGAACAGACTGAAATTCAAATCACTCACGGAAAATCTTTGAAATCTCATTTGTGTTCACAGTGAGCTTGACAGATGTAGTCACTATCAGCTGTTGTTGCAACAAAGCGGAAAAAATATCAGCGTGTGGGTTTGGAACGACATGAGGGTGAGTAAACAATGACAGAATTTTCATTTTTGGGCAAACTATCGCTTTAATAAACGGTCTGGATGTGTATAATTCATCAGGATGTGTTATTCGAAAGGAAAAAATTGTTTTGATAAGTGTTCATCAAAACATAATGGTTTCCTCGGTCTCTGAAATAACTTTCCCTGCTGACATACACGAGTCAAACAGGTGCTGATAGCACACTAATAACTACACTGCTGTTCAAAAGTTTGGGGTCAAAAGTGTGATCAAAAGTTATTACAAAAGATTTCTCTTTTGAATAAAAGCTATTCTTTCTTTCTATACATCAAAGAATCTTAAAAAACTAAGTTTTTAACATTGATATTAATCAGAAATGTCAACAGCGAGTCAATTAGAATGATTTCTGAAGATCATGTGACACTGAAGACTGGAGTAATGATGCTGAAAATACAGCTTTGATCGCAGGAATAAATGACATTTGAAAATATATTCAAATATAAACCAGATATGTTAAATTGTAATAATGTTTCACAATATTACTGTTTTTAGTTTTCATCATTCGTTCATAAACATTAAAAGATCATACGACCCAATAATAATTTTTTACAATTATTTAATATCTAAAAATGTATATGAACCACCAACACATAATCTATACACTAATGAAGTCCTGCTATTCATTATTTCCACTGAACAGTTTTCCACTCTGAAATGTGTCACAACGTGAAAGTTCAATGTATTGTGAAATAATTTCATGTTGTTGTTATTAAATATGGCATCACTCCATCATGCAACATCTGATTTTGAAACAGTCTGGGCTAACCCCATTATTTTTGCACCACCACTAGCATCACAAAACAGAACTGCCTTTATAGCTTTCCATTTCTATTGAAATGAACAAGGCTGCTGAATAATATTTTTCTCCAGGTATTGTTAAGGAAGCAGGAACCTACTGTCTGTTTGGTGGCTCCTCTTTGGGTTTTGGGGTAAGGACTGTACTTGGGTTTGTCTGGTTTCCCTGCAGCTCTGTCTTTATGGCGTCTGCTGCTGATATGCTGACGATACAAACACAGAATGTGACACAGATGTGATGAGCTGACAGACACAGTTTACAGATTCTATAACAGCATTTAATGCTGTTAGGAACTTTTCATACCAAATTAAAATACAATTTGCACTGCAGATTATTTGCCAGAAGCATTTATAGCAAAACAAACCACTGCTATTAGCGGCACCAAAGCAGAATATTCCATCCTTTATTATTTATTTAGACTGAATGATGTTGAATGATTTTGATTTATGTTTTTTTATATTTATTAATTTTTAATATTGTTTAATATTGTATGGATGGTGGGTATTTATATCCTCCACAAAATTACAGAAATCATTTTTACATCAACATATATCTACACAACTAAATTTGATTATCAATTTCACCATTTTATCATGGTGCAATATGTCATGTGTTGTTGTTCATCTGAGGTTTTATTTTCCAAATTTTAAGAGCTGCCAAGGACCAGATAAATTTTTTTTTTACATGAAAACCATGGAATTCAATAGGATGTCCTAACTTTTTCACATGACTGTATATATATCATTATAATAATTTATAACAATAATAATAGCAATAACAACAACAACAAATAATACTAATTAATACTTATTGTATGCTTTCATTTATTACATGGAATTTCTCGCATCTTTCTTCAAAAAGCAATTTTTTTACTTTTTAATCTTTCCATCTCCATAAAATAAATGGTTTAACCACTGCTTTAACGCAGGTACTGTACATCAAAAATAGGCAATTATTACTATTATTTTAGTAAAATAGTAAACAATATTTCACTAAAATCTTACAAACCTTAAAATCCTCCAGTAGAGTGACAACATTAGAGTTACTTTATAAATGAAATCTCACAAATAAAATCTGAGGTCAAATGAGATTTTGACATTATTTAATGAAATCCATGCAGCGATGCTTTTGATGCTGCCACATCTGGCTTTCAGAGTGACAGTCAATTGAGGTTCGGCGCTCACCTGCTTGAGCTGCGTCTCTGAATTGACGCGCACATCGCAGGCTTCACAGTGGAATGTCTTGTTCTGCAGGCCCGTGTCTGCTTTAGCGGGTGCAGTCAGCTTGCTCTTCAGTCCGGGCCTGGGGAAGGATTTGATGGAGCCGATCCCACTACGAGCCTCCAGCATGGTTTTGTGTTTGGTGCCTGAGGAACAAAACATGGCATAACATTTATCATCTTAATGATACGCATTCGCCAGAGAAAATAAAACCGTGAGGGCTGGATGGGGTCTTTAGTGCTGATGCATCACATTTCAAAGTCAATTACTGTATATGTATTAGAACTAAGTATACACTAACTGTCAAAAGAGACATGTGACTGAATTTATGGTTCTCATTGATCTTAAACTAAAGGTCTTTGCTTTAATACTTGACAGAATAAAAATGATACAGATCAGCTGGATCAAATAGTGAAGGAATAGCAGCTTCTGTGACCCGCAGCTTTGGTTTCAGTATTTTTATGATTAATTTTCTCCTTAAGCATATTTTGTTCCAAATTTCCAAACCATGAACCAAATCAAGCAGCTCCACATCACAACATTTATCTGAAGCAAAAAGTGTTTCAGAACAGGCAGTCAGTAAGATTTCTAATGCTTTTAAAAGAAGTTCTTCTGTTCACCAATGCTCCATTTATTTGACCAAAACAATTACAATTTAAAATAACTGCTTCCTATATTTGGACACATTTTAAAATGTAATTTATTCCTGTGATGCGCAGCTGAATTCTCAGCATCATTGCTCCAGTCTTCAGTGTCACGTGATCCTTCAGAAATCATGCTAATATGCTGATTTGCTGCCCAAGAAACATTTCCGATTATTATCAGTGCTGAAAACTGCTTCATATTTTTGTGGAAGCCATGATTTTCGGGATTCTCAGATGAATAGAAAATTCAAAAGAACAGCATTTATTCGAAACAGAAATCTTTTGTAACATTATAAATGTTTTTACTGTAACATTTGATCAATTTAATGCATCCTTGCTGAATGAAAAACATTCATTTCTTAAAAAAAATACTGATGACAAACTTGTGTGTTGTAGTTTGTGTTGCTAATTATCACACTAATGTAAACTAATTAGTCTGAAAAATCTCCTCACAACCCAACTTGCTAAAAATCATAACCGAGGTGTAGTATCTTGCTGTATAATTTTTTAGGTAGTATTTTAGTAGTACTTAGATTTTTTACATTTCTTTTTTAAACTCTTTGACTCACAGTTTCTAATAAAGAAGCTGTTCATTGCAGTAATTTACATTTTTTACCATGACAAGAGTGATTTATCCCCTTCATAAAATTGCAGCTACAACAATATGATAAAAGGCTCTTTTTTTAAAGGCCATGTTACTTCAGTTCCGTTGTCTTGCATGTGTCAGAGTAAGACCTGATCCTGTTCAATTCAGAAAAGCCTCAGTGCAGGCGCTCTGAGTAGCTGCTCACCACTGTTATGCGCGTCTAGCTGTGACGCAGAGTTGACGGCCACCTTACAGAGGGAGCAGTAGAGCAGACGCAGTGCTTTCTCATCCTCCGTCTCCGTCTCTGTCTCTGGACTGACTGTGGGGTCGTTCTCCTCCAGTTCAGGTGGGTTGGGCGTGATGGAGCGGCCGTCCTCTCCTCCTGATACTGAGGTAGACTCTGGCTCTGTGGGCTCCACGCTGGGGCCGGACCTTGGGGCAGAAAAGGGTGATGAAGGGGCCACAGGCGCTCCAGGACTCCCACCTGTAAAAGACAAATGACCTGTTATTGGTAAGTGTGATAGCGCTTTAGTGTTTATACTGTAGCAGATCTAGTTTAAAGTAATAGTTTTAGGGTTATTATTGCAAGTCTTTTGTTTTGATCTCAAGTGTTTCATAATGTAATGCAAGCTAATTATGAATAATTCAATATCAAGGTCCAAATATAAAGAGAACATTATTGGAATTAAGTATCTTTCATTTTTAAAAAACAAACCCGATTCCAAAAAAGTTGGGACACTTTACAAATTGTGAATTAATAGATTATACAAAGATATATTATACAAAAAGATTATTCAAAAACTTTGTTGCTCAATTTCCAGCATAAATAACCACACACACTCACAAACACACACAAAACTAAAAACAAATAATTATTACTTCATATTAATTAATAAAATATTAAAATAATACAATAAAATAATTTATTACAATGTAACAAACAATAACTCATCATTTATTATGAATAACCATTTAGATAGTAGCCATCAAGTTCTAAATATAAAGAGAAAATGATTTAGACTATTGAAAGAAAAATATCTTTGGACAATTTCCTGCATAACTTACAAACTACATGGCAATACAAACTGTAATTTTAATAAAACAATTATAATAATTTAATAAATTGCAAAAATTAAAATAAAATAAAACAAACAAATAAATACAGACTCATCATTAATTTATTATGAATAATCATTTAGTTTGCATCTTCAAAATGATTAAAATCAAGACCTTTTCATTTTTATAGTCTTTAATTTAATGGACTATGCAACATAACATTTAATTAAAACTTTTTTTAAAATAGAACAACATAATAAAATGTAAAAATGAAATGATTACAAAATTAAATACAATTTTATTAAATAAATATTTGATAAACACATGCCTATTTTTCTAACTGAAGCACTGCACCGAATGCTATTGAGGCGCAAATACAAGTCAGACTTTTCTAATTATACACACATTATATTGTCCACTGGATGGATGAGTATTGGATTATGTTTTGGATGAATAAATATGCAGCAGGCACACATAAACACAAACCCTGAAGTCACTGATGACTTGTCGACCTCTAAAAGCTCCTTCGTTGCCATTGTCAATAATACATGAGCACATTATTCCATCGAACGGCACTCTCGCGTTCTGGCTGTGAGTTTTTCCCTGAGTGTTGGACTTGCTTTGATTTGAAGACTTCCTTTATTTGTGCTGGAAAATAACTGTGTCAAATATCAAGATCGATGGCGCCACATGCCAGTATTACCTAATGCGGTCGACACTGAAATTAATTGCACCGAATAAGATAAACTGCCGCTGATTTTCCCCAGATGAGGTCTGGTTCTGGCACGGTGCTCTGATCAATGTCTGAGGTGTCTGAACTCTTTGTACAGTAATAACACAGAGGCTCTCTTCATTTCAGACCCTGGGGACTCAATCGATACTGAATTATGTCGTTCTATTTTGGTGACCCGTTAAGTAGAGTCTCTTATTTATCCCAGAGCTCCTCTTCGGCTCATCTGTAAAAGAAAAAGAGGCATGGATGCTACCGAACGTCTCGCTCAAACTAAGACCAATTAGTTAACCCTAGGGCTTCAACAAACGGTTATTTTGAAAATCAATTAATCTAATGATTATTCGAATGAACAATAAACAAATTGATTATTGCACTGATGAATCAATAAACTTTCGACTTTCGTAATCAGTAGCAATTCATTAAAATATAGAGTTCACATTCTACACATATTCATATATACATGGAGCGGTTGTAATTCTAACTGAAAGTGACAATGGCATCATTTTTTCATGGTTAATACTGTAAAGTTGCTTGCTTTATAGCAGTCTAGTTATTGTATAACGCTCTATTACAAATGTGACGTGACTTACTGGAGCTGGTGCAAAGATTCATACTGCTATGATCAGATGCTTTCTTAACTGCTGTTTTCTCACTGCTGTCATGTATCTTGTGTTCATTTTGTTATTGAGAGGAAAGCGTCTAAACGTCACTCTTAGCAGAGTCGGAATGTTTGCTGACCACAAACGAACTAACGAGATCATATTCAGAAGACAATGAAACCGAAACCAAATAGCGTTGAAACAGAGAGTGAAGTAAACAGAAGAGAATGACAAAATAACGGTCCACATAACAGAACATAAACCTGACAATAAGATCGTTAGGCTGTCGTTAGCCTATATGTACAACAGTTAGCCTAGTTGTAATCTGATCTTCTAATCTGACTGGACAAGAGACTTTCTATTGATATTTCCACCTGCGCGTTACAGTGTTGCGCCACAAGGTTGTGGAACGTGACTGTCATTCAACTACACGTTCAAAAACGTGTAATTCAAAGAGACGTAATGAAACACGCTGTTGAAATCATTTTAACTTTGAGCGCCACTTTAGAAGGCTCAGCTGACCAGCTATGCGTCAATGCTAAGAC